AGCAGTGCTGGGTCAATCCATTTCAAATCATCCAGCAAAAAAAGAAAATGACACCCATGTTCTCAGATTCTAATGATTTTTTTTTCATGTGTTCCTTTTGCTATTCTAATTATGAATACCAAATTTCATTTTGATATCTTGAATACTTTTTTAGTAATGAATTTTCAAAAATTGCTAAAAATAAGCGTTTTCCCGTTCCCGCCGATTATTTGGAGTACGAAATTGTTTTAGTAAAAAAATCATTACTCAGTCAGTATTTATCATATCACAATGGGACTTTCACTAAAATGTTCAGAAAATCTTGTAGAATTAAGGAAAAATATGTTTATGGGGGTGGTCATTTTATGTTCCATCCAGTAATCCATCCAACTTTAATTTTGGTCTACTCTTTAGCAAAAAAACACAAAATTTTGAAAAATTTGTGAAAATTATAGGCACTATGTAAACCAAAGGTGTTTTATCATATTTATGTTCCTAAGGACATATACTAACAGGTTATTAAAGAAAAACACTGGGATTTTCACTGCTTTTTAATTTATAACTCATTAAACAGAAAAATATAATTTTCATAAAAAAGGCAGAGTGGGGACAGTTAAACCTGTACTAAGAATCAATAGCTACTTCAGAAAGTGTTATTAAAAAATTATCAAGACCCATTTATAATAAAGTAGAATTATAATTTTGAAAGACAGTAAAACTGAATTTTAAAAGCACTGACCCAAATTGGTAGGCCTACAATGTCAAGCTTAGTACAAAAAAGACGCTTGAAAAAATATGTACAGTATTAAGAAAATATGAAAACTTCTTACCACTAATCCTTAATGAATACAATTTTTGGAGATACTCAATCTGCTTTTTACATGAAGCACTTAATTTTGTACTTGGTTTTTTGTCAACATTCAAGTTTCTGAACCTAAAACCGCCCAGACCCCAATTTTTAAGGACCTCGGTCGTCCGTAATGACGTTTTTTAAATGGCGGCCGTAAGAGGATGCTGGGTCCCCATGAATTGGCTATAACGACCGAATGCCTTAATAGATTTTCATCAAATTTGGCACACAAGTGCTTGAATACATTATCTCGGTCTGGGTTGAAAATGCTCAAGTTTCATCAAGTCATTTCAAAATGGCGGCTGTTCAAAACTAAAAAAAATATGAGGAAAATAATTGTGAATTGTTTTATACAGGGTGAGTTTTAAATGAGTTCCCCCCCCCCCCCCACTTTTTTATACATTTCTTAAGATATCAACTCTGAACCACGTCAGATCATTGTAGAGTAGCAAGTGCTTCATTTTGACTGGGTTTAAATTTTTGGCCGCCATCTTGGATCCGCCATATTGGATACGAAGTTATTTTTTCAAATGTAAAGGTAGGGTTGTGACCCACCGTTTCAAACAAGACTTTTACGCTGAATACGATGCTGCAATTCGTTTAAAAAAATGTTGATCCATTCTAAAGTAATGAGAACTTTTTATAAATTAATTTTTAGTCCATTAACATTGTGCATTTACAAACTAAGGTCATAATCTCAAAATAGTGCTAGACAAAGATAAGTGGACACCACCATTCATTGTTGACCTATTTTCACTCGGTTATGACGGATGTATTTTTTTCAGCCGCCATCTTGGATCCGCCATTTTGAAATGTGATCAATTATTTTATAAGTTTTTTGTTATCAAGCTTTCTTGATAAAATATTACAATTATTTTGATTTAAAATGTCAATATTTAAAAAACCAAATATTACAATAAAAAACGGATTGCGGCATTGAATTCAGCATAAAAAAGTAATTTAAAATGATGGGTCACAACACCACCTTCATATTTAAAATAATTAATTTAAAATAATAATAAGGTCTGGGCGGTTTTAGATTCAGAAACTTGTATACTATAACCACCTAAAATTGCAGCCTCTCTGCCAGAACTGAAATATTTTCCTGCTACCCAACCTGACTAAATGTATTATTTCCCGAAAAAAGAAATGGATTTAATTGAAAAACAGTGCCAAAACATGTTGACAAAAAACCAAGTACAAAATTAAGTGCTTCATGTAAAAAGCAGATTGAGTATCTCCAAAAATTGTATTCATTAAGGATTAGTGGTAAGAAGTTTTCATATTTTCTTAATACTGACATATTTTTTCAAGCGTCTTTTTTGTACTAAGCTTGACATTGTAGGCCTACCAACTTGGGTCAGTGCTTTTAAACTTCAGTTTTATTGCCTTTCAAAATTATAATTCTACTTTATTATAAATGGGTCTTGATAATTTTTTAATAACACTTTCTGAAGTAGCTATTGATTCTTAGTACAGGTTTAACTGTCCCCACTCTGCCTTTTTTATGAAAATTATATTTTTCTGTTTATTGAGGTACAAACTAAAAGGCAGTGAAAATCCCAGTGTTTTTCTTTAAGAACCTGTTAGTATATGTCCTTAGGAATATAAATATGATAAAATACCTTTGGTTTACATAGTGCCTATAATTTTCATCAATTTTTCAAAATTTCGTGTTTTTTGCTAAAGATTAGACCAAAATTAAAGTTGGATGGATTACTGGATGGAACATAAAATGACCACCCCCATAAACATATTTTTCCTTAATTCTACAAGAGTTTCTGAACATTTTAGTGAAAGTCCCATTGTGATATGATAAATACTGACTGAGTAATGATTCTTTTACTAAAACAATTTTGTACTCCCAATAATCGGCGGAAACGGGAAAACGCTTATTTTTAGCAATTTTTGAAAATTCATAACTAAAAAAGTATTCAAGATATCTTAATGAAATTTGGTATTCATAATTAGAATAGCAAAAGGAACACATGAAAAAAAAATCATTAGAATCTGAGAACATGGGTGTCATGCCCTGGATGACTTGATATGGATTGACCCTGCTGCGGTTAGCATATGTTCTGGCATCCATCTTGAGTTTTATGTAGTTACGGCGCACACCGCTGCAGCATCTGCTGGTAGCAAACGGCAAGGAGACGACGACGGCAGCGAATCAAACACCGAGTACGCTCTAGCAGCATATCCTGGAACCTTCCTCTGACAGTCTATACCTATTTATTAATGGCTGTTAGAAGTTGGCCGTCATAGAATAAGAAACTATTTCGTCTCCATGTACATATAGCTGCTAATATTATATAATGAACGACTGCAGTATGTCTATACCGTTTGCGTGATTGTCTGTTGTGTGCATTATGTGTGACAACGAATGAAAATTGGAATGCTCTCACTGCCTCACCCTGTACAACAAAAGAACGCAGCATTAACTGCGTGTCAAAAATTGAAAAAGAGCTGTTTACAGTTATGACGTTAACTGTGTAGGTAGACCCTAAGCGGTAGAAACATTAAATCAAATACGGGTCAAACTACCTAGGCTAATCAACACAACAACAATAATCTAGGCTTAGTTAATTTTTGTTATTTTATAGTGGTGGTAAATATACCACTCTCGTTTGTAAATATATATTCCCAAATGATTTTTGAACGCATTTGTCCGCCATTTTGGATTTTGGTGCCGTGTATGGAAATTGTTAAGAATTCTTCAAATGGGCTCCTAGGCTAAAATTAATAAGTAATACCATAGACTAACCAACACAAGTAGACTTCTCATCCCATTGTAAATTTTGAAGCACGTTTTTCGTGTCTAGTTCATGTACGTGACACAAAGGCGCTAGTGTCAATGAAACTTTGTTTCCATTATTTTAGGGTTAATTTCTTGATTTGTGCTTTACTGTTTGGTTATATAACTAGGGGACAAGTTATTGTTTATGATTAGATCGTATTATTTGGTTAAACGAGGTTTTAAATGGCTGTAATAACGGGAAACAAATTGTAAACAAAACACGACCTCTACATAAACCGTACATGAACTAACAATAAAATTGTCTTCAGCTGTTCCATAAGGATGAGAAATCTACTAAGGGAGTATGTTTTATCTATGGTAATACCCTAAGGCACCTTCATGCCAAATCTGGTGCTTTTATCCGCCAGGTACCAATTCTTAAAGTAACTAAAGCCTTAAGCAACCTCACTATAAAATTGGCTAAATACATTGGGATTTTGATGGCCTGTGGGAAATTCACCAAAGGAATTGGTGAAAGGGGGCATCTACACAAACAATAGGCCTACTTCATTTTGACAAATCGTTTGTAAAAATCCGTCCATTAGGCTATAAACGGAGAAGTTTAGTGTTTCATAGAAATCGCCTTCACGTATTATATACAGGCTAAGGATTAAGTACAGGTAAATAACTTTATATGTATTGACCCATCTGGATGACGTACCTATAGGACTAGACTAAGTTACGGTAATATGTTAGCCTACGTAACATATAATATCGGGCAAATGGGAATTGGGTACAGTTTCTTAACTAGGCTACGTTAATCGATTAAAACTATCAATTCGATTAGTAAACCTTAGGCCTAATTCGGGTTTTTTTTCATTATTAGGCTAGCATGTTTGGTTAGTTAGGTTGGGTTGGTCAGTTAAATTTTATAATTGATATAGGTAGTTACAAAATTTTGATTAGGATTAATCGACATTTTCAATTGATATTAAGTTTAGCGTAGGTAGCCCAATTAACTGAAGGGGGTGGTGGGGGGAGAAGTTTATTATTCTCCATGACATAGTGTTTACCTTTATTACCTGTAAATAGGCCTAGGGCCTAGCCTATTGATTATAATCAGAAATAGTTTTTTTTTAGCACACAAGATATTTTTGCTGCCTATAAACAAATAGGTACCCAAATGGGTTTTATTTTTGTAAAACGACATAAGATTGTATTAACTTAGTGCTAGACTAGGTTTAAGTTAGAGCCAATGATTAGGCCTAGGTCTAGGACCTTCCCCTATGAATAGTTACTGATTTAGGTATTATACAGACTCGTGTTAAATGTAATGTTGCTAGAGTAGGAAAGCAATTGTTTGATTTAATAAATAAAAACAAAAAAATGTAATAAAACTAGTACAAAAATAAAGTTAAAAATTATACATCTTACATATTTGCTCGACTGCTCCTGGCCTAGGGTAACACGAACAAGTTTGACTCCTCTCCTCTCTTGCCGGTTCACGATTTAAGAGTTGGTTAAAATAACTGTTAGTATGACCAATACGCAACTATTTAATATACATAATAAGACTATGGTTTTATGGACTGGGCCTACAAGATAAAATCTAAAATGGTGTGTAAAATATAAAATAGGTTTCGATTTTCTGCTGCAAGTGCAAGTGAAATTAATTTTGCACAGCACAGACAGACAGAGTCAGTCAGTCAGGCTCAGACAGACAGACAACAAACCCAGAAAGAAAAGAAAAAGAACCATTCTCATTGCCTTCTGTCGGGTCTGTAGCTCAGTGAGTCTAACTTACGGGAGGTATAAATGAGGAATATTAGTTAAAAATTCCCGCGTGAACAGCGCTGTAGTATGGAGCCTTTGACTTGGCTAATGAAATGAAGGTTTACTAATCGAAAAAATAGTTCTGTTCATAAAATAAAATTATAAATGCCTCAGATTCAATTTTAATTTTTTTGGATTATGAAATTAACTGTCATAACCTAACTAAACTAACCAATCTTGCTGATAATGAAAAAAATGTTAGACTAGACAAAAAGCTAGTGCTACAGGTGGAATTCGAACGTGTTTATGGATTGGATTGGAATCCAATCCATTTGGATATAAGTGTCAAGACTGTCAAGTGATCACTAACATTGTAAACAATCTAGCAAAAGCAAATTGGAGGACATTTAATTTTGTTGTTATATATACAGCTTTTTTACCTGATTTTATCTGGTTATGAGCATGATTTTTATCATGGGCAGGATAGTGTTTAGGTTTAGATGCGGCACATAGGCTATACCTAGCCTACATTCGATTTGTATTTGTAACGTTATGTAATAGGTTAGGTCATCCACTTTGAGACTTTGAGTAAAGTCCTTCCTAATCTCTTGATGAACTATGTGAATTAAGTTTATGAAGTAACATAAAGAATACATTTTTGTCAGACATAATTTATATTGTAACTTAATCATGGCAGATGATTTTCTAGCAGAGAACAACACTTGTGGGCAGGTATTGTTACGCCTAGTATCTAGAGGCAATGCTATTATCGCAGAGCTCCTTAGACTGAAAGACTACATCCCCCCTGTATTCAAGTAAGTATTTGCTCTAAATTAACATCACTAGACATTTTATTTAAATGGTGCTTGCCTAGGTTTACCAAGTTAATGTAATTTCTGTTATAGGCCTAGCCAAGGCTGCACTTTACTTGACGTCCTACACTCATTTGATTGTTTTTTTCGATTCGATATTTTCATTCGATTGTTTCATTCGATATATCGTTTGGTTAGTTAGGTTAGGTTAACCCTAGGAGTGGCGAGACCGATTTTCAGTATGTGCTTTGTGGAGTGGCACGCTCATTTTGGTGAATTTGTAAGGGAGTTCTTGAAAAATCTGTATAAAATTAGTATGTAGAGATAAACTATTGAACCGTATATTCATTTTGTTCGTAATAGTCAGTAGAATTCAAAAATGGTAACACAAACCAATTTTAGAAAGGTTGATTTTTAGAAAAAAGTAAAAAAAATAAAATTTATAAATTTATCAAATTTTATTTCAAAAGCAAACACGTGTCACATGTAACGTAATTTTTTATTGCACAATTCAAAATATGCATTTTGTTCAGAATTTATTCCTCTACATAGACATATCATAATTTACACAAAATAATTATTTTTATAGATTTACTAGCAATAATACGGAAAAATTGGAAAACGTCAAATTCTTCAACTACACGTTGATAGATCCACAAATGCCCTCTACTAATATATCAATATGATAAAACCATAATTTTTTTTGTAGCCAATAATATCATTCTATATAAGAATAACTAAATAAGATAAGTAATAGAATATTTGGTTTCACAAAAGCAAAAATATAAACAAAACAACTGATCAGCTGTTATAGCCCACAAAACTTCACTGACTTTTTTCCTATTTTGGATCACACATGTATAAATATTTATGCAAAATAATGCATAAATATTTCGCCTAATACAAAATAATAAACTAAAACGAACATTACAATGTAAAATTAGGGATAAACCCACACTTCGTCTTTGTTATCGGACAAAAACTCACGACGACGCCGCCATTTTAGGTTAGACGATGACAAGTGTTCTGTTCCATTAGCTTTGAAAAATCAAAAGCTTCTATTTGTGTGACCAGCCTAACAACATTGAATTCTACTGTCCTTCGTCTACAAGAGAGTATATAAAACAACGTTTTTGTACTTTTCACATTGTATATATATGCGATTTAGAAATCGACATTTTATGTCGATCCGCCACATGAACAATACGTAAAAATAGGCTATTTACAAAAATTGTTTATCAGCTGTTGGAATGTATTATGACGTTATACTTTATACAGAATAAAAGATTTCTTCATGCTTGTTGCAGTGGTACCACTTGCTTTTGTCAGAGACAAAAATTACGTCTGCTATTTGTTTTTGAAATGACTCATCATTTACGATTGCGCAACAAAACATGGCGTTCGCGAGTTCGCGCGTATTTTTTGTTTAAATGTAACTCATTATAAGAACGATATATTTATGTTATAAGGTTCATTCTTATAATAAAATGAAACTACGGAATCTTATCTTTCCATTGGTATAAGAGTTATGTCATTTCACCGACTTTAAATGTGCTTAACATGCAACTGAAAAAAACGTTACATAAATCGACATATTCTGTCGCCCGCCACTCCAGCGGCACATTTTGAAATCGACATTTTCTGTCGATCTGCCACTCCTAGGGTTAACCTTACCTAACTAACCAAACGATATATCGAATGAAGCAATCGATTAATCGATATATCGATCGATATTTTCATTCGAATGAGTGTAGGACGTTAAGTTAAGTGCAGCCCTAGCCAATAAATAAAGCCGTGTTTACACTATGTATCGAAACCTGCTATATAACTTTTGCTATACAAATAAGTTACAGACAATTTTAGTGATTGCGGTGCTCGTGTTACCTAAAACTTATGCTATTGGTAAGTTAGCACAACCTCATTCGCATTCTGTATCAAAATGTCACGCCGAAGAGATTGTTTGTGGCAGCTATCACGGCAATCTTAGGAAGTCAGAGGCGGAAGGTTTTAGCAAGTTTTAGGTTCGACCGCTTCTTGCTTTGAGAAACAACTTAAGTTCAAGTACAGTGTAGTAGATTTATTACGGGACCTTAATGATGACGATCCATAATTAAAGCACGAAATAAGGCGATGGTAAGTTAGCTTCAAAAACATTTTACGTACCGCATGACCACAACGCCGGTTGTCCACAGAACAGTTCAATTAAGTTGATAATTGCATCCCGATCCTACGCACTGTCACTTTCGAGTCCTTCCATTGTAAACAAAGATCGCTGAGCAAAAACGTCCGCACCCAGGAGGCTACAACTGTGAACTGATGACACTAAAATAATGCTACATTTAGCAGACGAAAAATATTGGTTACAAGTTACTAGTGTAGGCTACCTGTTGCTCGAATTCGAGCAATTGCGAAGCATTACAGGCGTTATATAATCAAAACTTGTAAATATCTTATCTTTTTTCAAAAGCTGACTTTGTTTTCTACAAATTTTCCCTACTTATAGCTGCATTAGGTTGTCTATAATACTTACTTACTCTTACTTACTTACTCTCAGGGCCATGCATATCTAAGGAGATATTTGGCCGCACCAACAAAGCCTCTCCATCTTGCTCTATCCTCTGCATCCTCCTCAGTTGCTCCTAGTTGCTCCATGTCTTTCCTTACTTGGCTCCACCATTTTTGTTTTGGCCTTCCTCTCGGTCGTCTTCCTTCGGGATTTCTTAGTAAAACTAATTTTAACTTATTTTGCTCCTCTCTTCGTAAAACATGTCCAGCCCATCTAACTCTTCTACACTTAAATTCACATACCACATCTGGATCTCTGTAGAGTTCTCTCAGTTCTCTGTTGTGTCTCTTCCTCCATTCACCACCTTCATAAATTGGTCCATAGATTTTTCTTAAAATCCTATTTTCGAATGTGATTAACTTTTTTTCTTCTTTTTTATTTGGTTTCCATGTTTCAGCTCCGTATAATAATACTGGGCTGATTATTGTCTTATAAATTCTAACTTTGGTGTTTTTTGACAGTAACTTAGAGGACATCAGTCTGTTGCAAGCGTAGAAACATCTGTTTGCCAGATTTAGTCTATTTTGGATTTCTATTTCTTCTTTGTTTTCCCTGGATAAGATAACCCCTAAGTACTTAAAATGTTCTACTTTTTCAAATTTATGGTCATCTACCTGCAGTGGGTCTTGGGCTATACCTTGATTTCTTGAAAATTGCATATATTTGGTTTTCCCATCATTTACTTTTAGTCCTAATTGTCCTGTTTTGTCCATAAATACTTTTGTTAGTTGGCGTAGGTCCTCTAAAGAAAAAATGACGACATCGTCTGCAAACGCTAATATGTTAATTCTGGAGCCAATTGAAATTCCCTTATCTATTGTTGCCACTTCTTGTAGAGCTTCTTCTATTGCTATGTTGAAGAGGATTGGGGAGAGCCCATCCCCTTGCCTTACCCCTGCATTTACTGTAAAGGGCTCCGAGACTCTCCCATTTACTTTTACTGAACATGTGGAATTTGCTACAGTTGTTCTAGCAAGGTTTATAAGTTTGGTTGGGATTCCAAATTTGTCCATCTTTTTCCACAGTTTCTCTCTATTTATGCTATCATACGCTTTTTGGAAATCAATAAATATTGCAAAAAACTCCCTATTAAACTCCCAATACTTCGATATGACTTCTTTAAGGATAAATATTTGATTCATTGTGGACCTGCCTTTCATGAAACCAGCCTGATGATCTAGGATTAGTTCATTTGTATATTCTTCGATCCGATTTAATACTATCTTTGATAAAACTTTGTACGGTTGTCTATAATAACGATTATAAATGAAAAAAAAACAAACATTATTTCTATTTCTTCTACACTGTACTTGGTTGTGTTCTATGACTTTCCTGTTTCTATTGTTTGCAAATCGGCTCTTTCAATTATTGCTCAAGAAATGTAGCACAGTGTTAATTCAGTTTTATTTTTAGTATATTAAATTGTCCAGTATTTCTCACTTTTTTCCGTTGTAATTTTTAAAATTACACCAACCAAGTATCGTCTACTACAGATGCAATACACCAAAGAATATCGCCTACGTGTAATCTCCAAGAAGTGGTAAAAAAGGCAGAAACCAACCCATACAACAGATATAAGATAACTCCATAAGAAATAATTTTAAGAGTTACTGTGATATTAGGATTTTCCAGTGATTTGGTAATAGAACATTATATTGCAAAACATGGCACGATTCAGAAGAAAATCGATTTTAAAATCAGAAAAAAATTGCAAATACTTAATTTGGACAAATTTAGTAAATCACAATTTAAATATTAACACGTTCGCTGCGGGCCATCAAACAGCAGGCGTAGCCCCAGTGCGGCGCAGCCCGCAGCGTCGAACAAACCCGATTGCCGGGTGATTGGCTCTCATATTTCGGTATGACGAATAGCAAATAACGTGCGGTGATGTCCTGTTTTATAACAAGAGTCGACGTAGTTCGCTAAACACTCACATATAGCAGCACTGCTTGGAACGTAGCCGGTCCCATCGTATTAACAATTGGAGGGAGAAAGACGGGACAAAAAGTTGATTTTTATGTTTGCCAGACGGGGATTTTATGGGGAAATTTTACTACCAACCTACAACACAACAAAAAGCAAGTCACCCACTACACGCTAACGTGGAAACATTCTGCAAAGGGTCGTAAACAAACGCACGTGGCGCGCTCGCCCACCCCCATCCCGCCCCCCCTACTGATAACGCGACAAAAATAGAAACCAAGGTCACCACGGTCATTCAACTGTGTCAACGCAGGTGGCTACAAAGTATTAGTTCGAAATATCAAACGGCTGAGCCACAGGAAAATATTGAGGTTCAGGAGGACCCAAGTATCCATATGGATACCGCCGCCACTAGGTGATGGACTCCAGGTATCCATATGGATACCGCCGCACCCAATGTGTTAACAGCTGTTTCATTCAAAAGTAGTGTAAATGTATGCATATGGTTGTAATGTAAACACATCTGAAGAGGTAACTTTAAAGGCCTCTGGGGCAGAGCCCCAAGGGAATTTACCTTGTTTCTCTTTTGATGGCTCATCTACAGACTAAGACCTCTCTTTAGAGACCCCTACCAAGTTTCTACGACCAGCCTTTCTCTGTAATTAGCTGTGACAAAACCCCGTTTTTTCTCCATAAGAATAACATGGGATGGGAATTTAAAGGCCACTGGAGCGGAGCCCCAAAGGAATTTACCACGTTTCTCTTTTGATGGCTCATCTACAGACCAAGACCTTTCTTTAGAGACCCCTACCGAGTTTCTACACCCAGCCGTTCTCTCAAATTAGCTGTCACAAAGAAAAACAGTTTCAAATTAATATATAGATTGCTACATAGGCCTATAGCAATGTTAGATGTAGCACATAGGCTATATCTTTTGATCTAGAATTAAATTAGTAGTAGATACAGCCTAGTACTAGTAGTTAATACTTATCTATAACTACTACTTAGGCCTATCTATAACTACTGTTGTATTAATAGTCAAAGCTTCTATACTAATCTCAATGGTTTGTATTCAGATTGTTATATTGGTAATGTGTGCATGAATCTTTAACCCTTTGAGCCATACATATTATTATTTTACTCAGTTATTCCTTTTACGCAATTTTTCCTCCTATATTTTAGGAAATATTTAAGTAGGTAGGCCTACATAAGTTCAAATTCTTACAAAACAAGGTTTTGAATGGACGGACACATAAATAACTTGTCAACGAACTTGAGTAGGTACAGCTATAGAGAAATGAGGTAAGTTGATGAAACACTCAACGGTACACTTATGTGGTGTCTAGCACTAAATGCTTGTGTCAAGGGCAAATTCCAACAAGCCTCCTGTACTACAAAACTCACAGAGGAGGAAAACCCTCTGCCCACTCAGAAAAAAATAGAAAAAAAAACCCTGGAAGAGAAAAAGCAAAACAAAGCAAAGCAGGGCGAAACCAAATCACAAACTGACAATTAGTGAAAACTCAACAAGAAAGCTTCTGCTTCTACTTTAAATGACTTTTAGGTTCAGGTGGGCACAAAACAGATATTTCCACCCGGATCTTCAACTCAAAGATGTTGACGGAAACAATACTGGTACTTTCTCTATATACTGTATAAGCTGAAACAGTAAAAATATTGGAAATATTGAACCAAAAACCTCTGGACTACTTGATATGGACTGATATGATAAAGCTCTGCTGCTGACCAAGACTGATAATCAATTTGTTCAAATTTTTGGCTGTCTTAAGGCTACTGACTAGTAGTTTAGCTCTGACGGAATTATACTGCCGAACTTCTGGTAACTTGGCGAGTTAGAGCCATAACCCTTCAGCTGTAAATGTGGTTATTTGAAAATGTTAAATGAAGCTTGATTCAATTGCATTTGCAGAAGATGCATGTTTTATAGTACAAGTTATGGCTTTAGATTAATAACAAAATTCATCTTATTTATCACATATATAGGCTATTTTTTAAAGGTTATTATTTTTAAGTTCAAACTAATGCAAATTATTCAATTATATCAAACAATATCTAATAATGCTCATTGTTTTAGATTCGACACAAAACAAGACCAACAAAAGTACGCAGGTTTAATACTTGACTTTACCTACTTTAAGTCACCAGAAGAATATGATAAAAAAATTGAGAGTAATGTAGTAAGTATTGCCAATTTAATTAATTGCTGTTAATCACTTTATTCCATTTAAGAAGTTTACTCTCATTAGCAAGATCTATGTAGGTAAAGCCCCCCATACACGGGCGAGCATGTTCGCAAGCATGTTGGCGAACATGCTCGGCGTTGTCAACAGACGGATGAGCATGCTCGAGAACATGCTCGCCGCTACCGCCCAGTAGGCCTACTCTTGCTTCTCTTGAGCTGTGACAGTCAAGTTGTGTTTATTTATTTAAATTTAATATTAAATTAATTTATTTTGATTAATTTCAAATGGATGCTAATGCTGTTGTGGCCATTTGTGGTGACTATATTATGGTGACGAGCCGAGCGCCGAGCCCAACATGTTTGCTGGTACGAAGGCTCGCGGATCCCACACACGAGCGAGCATGTTCGCCGCCAACACTGTCACGAGCATGCTCGCGAACATGCTCGCCCGTGTATGGGGGGCTTAAGTGTTATCAACTCAAGCTTCAAAGAATTGGGTTGCAATAGGAAACAAGAATTTATGTGGTTTCAGAAAATTCTTAAATACAAATTGGAATCATTCTTGGTCTAGAAATGCTACATTTGAAAGGTATTTAGGCCTATATTTGATATTTCAATCTTAAGATACCATGTTTTATGTACACTCTATTTCCAAATTCTAGTTTTTGAATAGCAGGCAATTAGGCCTACAAAGCTGCTGTTAAGGTACACTTACATTACTTTAATGCAATAATAATCAAGAATGAAGTTCAACAGGACTTTTTACTTCTTAGTTAACCATCCAACACCTTGGCATTTTTCATTCCCTCTCCAACAACTCCATAAATAAATAAACCAAATACAAATAAAATATTTGGCATGTAGTGGCATGATGTGTGAATGCTTCAGGTAATGCAAGACTTGGATGAAGAATTGAGAGAGAACCATATTGACTTGCTGACTAGGTTCTATGTTGCATTTGAGAGCATTCACAAGTTTGCTGTGGACATCAACAGCTACGTTGAAGACTTGGAAGATGGAGTTTACATTCAGCAGACTCTAGAGAGTGTGTTCATAAGCGAGGATGGACGACAGCTATTGGTCAGTATTAATTTTGAATAAGTAACATTTCTATGAGCACGAGCCAGTGGCATACTGTCATAGTTGGGGGCTTGGGGTGGCTTAGATGAGGGGGCCCTTTTTACATATATACATACCCTACACACATGTAATATATAGGTATTTTTGTATAATTTTTAATGATGTATTTGTATTTGTTATATATTATGTTATACATCATAATATATATTTATACTTTACAATCTTGCACAATCTTTGCAGACGCTCTTGGCGATCGTGAGGGTATAAGTTCGACTCGGAAAGTTGTCCCCTAATTTAAAAAAAATTATTAGCAAAATTTATTTTCTATGAGAAAAAACATTCTTTTGACACATCCCAGGAACATCCCAGGCCGAAGCCTCTACAACCGCTGCGCCGTGCTTGCCGTTAGGGGAATAAGGCCCGGATTTTGGAGCCTATCTTGGTGTGAGGGACCGTCTCACCCCCCGCCCACCCCTCGGTACGCCACTGGAACCTGCTGTAATTTACCGGTCTAATCCCTATTCTTGTTACCATAAAAAATTGTCTTGTAAGACAGCAGAATGTAATATATTGCCTATCAGATTGTAAGCAGTGTTAACACAAGACCTGTAGGGAGGCAGTGTCTGCACTAGGTTTTACTGACCTAGTGTAAAAGTATGGCTTTAGATGAGTTTTATATCTTTACACTTCGTTGCTAAGCCTCAATCTCATTCTTACCATTACCGGTATTGAGTAATTTAAATCAATGTAGTCACACCAATTGTTACGCTGATTAGATAATAATTAATTGTGATGCTGTATTAGCACCAGTTGTTTTAAACCCCTAAACTGACAGTATCTTAAACCTAAAGCATGTATGTGCTCTTTGAATTTTGGTTGTACAGTGTGAAGCAGTTTACTTGTTTGGAGTGATGCTGCTTGTGGTAGATCTACATATCCCTGGTGATGTGAGAGAGAGAATACTGGTGTCTTACTATAGATACAGGTAAGTAGAAAATGCTTACTATCTCAAATAATTTCTATAAAATTTTTGAAAATTTGAATGGGCCTAAAAATTTGTTGTAGCCTACAAAGCGTAGATTTATAATCTTTCTTGCTTAGCTCAAGAGATAAGTCGGTTTTTGTTTCAAATAGATGGTTAGAGGTAGGCCTACATAAAATAAATTTATAAATGTTGAGCAACCATTAAAAAAATCTTTTTGTAAATTGTAATGTTAATCTTTCAGTCAAGTTTAAAATGTGATGTACTGTTCCACCCTACAGTTAGTGTTGAAAGTTGTATAGGATTAAATATAACTTAAATAGACTGTTTTTGTGTGTTTATTTACATATCTTAATCATACGTGTTGCCAGATAATGTTAGGCTATTAGATAATTTTAATAAGCCTAAACATGTGATGATATTTAATTTACCTAAATTTTCCAGTGCTCAGAGATCAAGTGCTGGCAGTAACGTAGATGACGTTTGCAAGCTACTTAGATCTACTGGACTCATCAGCGGAAAACGGCCAACAAACTATCCTGAAGATTATTTTCGGTCAGTAAAGGTTCATTTTCACCAGTTCCTTTGACTACTGTTACAGACTAATTGTGTTTGATAACCTTGTTCCTTTTGACCATTCTAATTATCATTTAAGAGTATCATCAAAAACTAGTGTATAACAAATCTTTTTTAAATCAACGTGATCAAAATAGTTAATTTGCCAAGCTTTTTTTCGATAGAGAAATTCTTTTACACAAATAATTATTACCCTGAACTCTTAACGCTTAACGCTCCACTGGGCAGCCTGCATGACCAAGACTCATTTTAAAAAAATTCTTGAATATTTGCATATTGTTTAGTTTTGAAGTATTATTTACGTAAGTTTTTATAAATTTGTGTAAGAGAATTCCATCTTACAATTTAAAATGTAAATATTAGGCCTATATGTTCAGTTTAGGCAAAAAATGTTTTATGTGCTTCATAAGATGATATACAGGGTGTCCGGTCATAAGTGTTAAATAAAATTTTGCATTAAACTACATGGTAATGGTGACAGAATGTCGCAAATTTGAGGTTCCCAACTTCAACAGTTAGAGAATAAAAAATAAATTAAGATTTTTCAAAAATTATTGTAGTTGTTATGAAAAAGGTTATTTTACTCTGTTAAAAATGCACTTACTGTCAATTTCAATGTCATTTTCTGAATCCTCACAAAATTTTAAATAGATATAACACATAATCGTTGGGGTACGGAAAAATATTCTATTTAAAATTCTTCGTTAAACAAATTATTTTTATATCGACGAATATGTAAATAACATTCATCAATTTATTTCTCGGTTGTTGAGTTCCGGCGAGGTTATCAAATATGACTAAAAACTTCCTTATTTAAAGGGCTTTACAATGGTGTATAATAGTTTTACCGTATTTCAAATTTCCTAATGTAATTCGATCATTATTGTGAAAAAACATGGTAGGGCAAAGAAAATCTATTGTGAAGAATAATACATTTAAGTGCAGGCAACAAATAATTTGATTTTTTCTCGCATGCAACGCTTTGTTTATAACTACCAAGCTAAGACAAGAAACATAGTAGTAAAATGTTTTTGTGATAAAGTTACGGTTATCGTATATTTTTCATATAAGGTTTAAATTATCTCCCGGAATTTCTATCTTGTTGAATGGATTTAGTCAATAGATTCAGGTATTTTACTGATAACATTATCCAAGCAATAAGAAAACCAAGTGAACCAGTAGTCATATTTTAAAAAGACCTATCAGTCACATGCGGACAGTGATCGGTCAACTATGTCTTTTTCGATTCGGGAGTACTGTATGTTGAAATGCATTTTATTTATGGTTTGTGTAACGGTAATGCGTCGGCTGCTCAGAGAGAGTACCAGAATCGGTATCCTGATCGCACCACCCCCAGTACTCAGGTGTTTACTAGAGTGCATCAACGTTTGCTGGAAACAGGATCGGTTGAGAAGAAGAAGAAAGAAGTAGGACCTGTGCATGATGTTGCAGCTGAAGAGGGTGTAATTCAGAGAGTTATGGATAATCCTACTACTAGTGTTAGGCAGCTTGCCCTTGAAACTAGTATGTCCCGGTGGAAAGTACATAAAGTGTTAAAGACAATAACTTCCATCCGTATCATTTTACAAAGGTCCAAGGATTGGAGCCTCGTGACTTCGAATCCAGAAAGGAGTTCTGCCGCTGGCTTCTTCATTTTGATATTGTTGAATATCACTTCCTTAAAAAAATACTATGGACTGACGAATCCCGTTTTACCAGAGAAGGTGTGATAAATATTCACAACATGCATCTTTGGAATAATGAAAATCCAAAAGCCTCCAGAGAAGCTTCTTTTCAAAAAAGGTTTGGGATCAACGTGTGGGCAGGTGTGATTGGAGATCGGTTAATTGGTCCTCATATCTTCGAAGGAAATCTGAACGGTGATTTATATCTAGATTTTCTTCAGCACTCTCTACCTCAGTTGTTGGATGAAATTGATCCTCAACAAAGAGCTGAAATCATATTTCAGCAGGATGGTGCTCCACCACATTTTACTGAAAGCGTTCGGTTGTGGCTATCCCAAAACTACCCGACATGGATTGGACGTGGAGGAAGTGTGACATGGCCTCCTCGATCTCCAGACTTGAGCCCGTTAGATTTTTTTGTTTGGGGTTACATGAAAAGTCTAGTTTACTCAACTGTTGTAAACTCTGAAGTTGAGTTACGGGAGAGAATCTTTGAGGCTGCTGGGAAAGTAAGGGAAAAATTGACGTATGAGGTCACAGTTGGCGCAATCCGCAAAAGAGCTAGGGCCTGCTTGCGGGAAAACGGTGGGCACTTTACACCCAAACTGTGATTTGTGCTTCGGACAAAGTATGTCATTGATTTGTTTAATGTGTTAACTATCCTTTCATATTTAAATTAAAGTGTGTATTGTGTTTTTTACTAATGTGTTGTGTTTTTTAATTACAAATTTTCCAAAGTCTTAAAATACTCTTTAGTTTGATGCAAGTGTAGTCTGGTCAATCATAAATTATACACACCCTCATCATCAGTGGTCAGCTCATAAAATAGTAAGTAAAAGTTTATTATTTTTTACAATATCTGTTTTGGCTTGACCGTGATTTTTCACAATAGTGCGTAAAATTCACCATGGATTTGACAGTAGGTAAATGTTGTTATACATCATTGTAAAGCCCTTTAAATAAGGAAGTTTTTAGTCATATTTGATAACCTCGCCGGAACTCAACAACCGAGAAATAAATTGCTGAATGTTATTTACATTTTCGTCGATATAAAAATAATTTGTTTAACAAAGAATTTTAAATAGAATATTTTTCCGTACCCCAACGATTATGTGTTATATCTATTTAAAATTTTGTGAGGATTCTGAAAATGACATTGAAATTGACAGTAAGTGCATTTTTAACAGAGTAAAATAACCTTTTACATAACAACTACAATAATTTTTTTAAAAATCTTAATTTATTTTTTATCCTCTAACTATTGAAGTTGGGAACCTCAAATTTGCGACATTCTGTCACCATTACCATGTAGTTTAATGCAAAATTTTATTTAACACTTATGACCGGACACCCTGTATATTTAAGCATGATGTCATATTTGTGTCCTGACTTCTGACGTTGTCTATTTTATGTTGCTGAATGACAATAAAGACTATTATTATTATTATTATTACCATCATTCCGACCCGTGAATCATTTCGCAGACGCACACCATTGAAGGAGAGTTTGGTGGATGTAGTAATTGGACGGCTGCGGTCAGATGATGTGTACAACCAGATCGCTGCATACCCGTTTCCCGAGCACCGCAGCACGGCGCTGGCAGCACAGGCGGCCATGTTGTACGTGTGCCTGTTCTTCCAGCCGCAGACACTACACAGTCAGACAGCCAAGATGAGGAACATCGTAGACAAGTACTTCCCTGACAACTGGGTGAGTAAGATCTTGAAACGTAAAGGAATATTGATTTATATTCATTTAGGCCACATCGTCTTGTGAAAAACTTGTTACGATTGACGGTGACTATGTCCCTGTAACCGTGGAGATGCCGCAATCGCTCGTGAAGATGATTGTTTGTTTTTAAAACAAAATATTGTAAAAAAAATACTTGGATTATTTTTAAGTAGGCCTACTAGTTGCTCTGCCCGTGCTTCGCTATGAGGTGAGAATACAGGAGAAAATAATTAGGTTTTTAAAAATCTACAGAAAATGTTATAAATTCTAATATTTATTTGTATTCAACCAAATACTTAGCTTTGTATTAAACCATGTGTTGTTTGTTTAAATTCAACTAAGAACATGTACACAGGATGCTAAATATCTTGACAGTTGACACTTGAGAAATTTCACCACTGAAGTAAGATTTATTAAACAGCTGGGTTAGTAAATTTTCTTCATAAGAAATACGTTGGGATTTTGGTTGCCTGTGGGGCAAAGCCCGAGGACTTTTATTACAGGAATCGTTTGTAAAGATCTGTCTATTATTAACGGAGGAGTAGTGTTTTGTAGAAATCACCTTCACGTATTATTTATAAGGATTGTCTACGGAAGTACTTGCCTAGTAATCACTAATCATCAAGGTTGATGTAATCACTACACGTCCGATTGTTCCAATTATATTCTTTATAACAGTGACCCAAAACTTTGTATGCATTTTAAGGTGAATGTGGATGCAGGCTGAAGTGAGTGAACCATCCCACAGTGAAGTGAGATGATCCGTGTGGCACTGTTATTGACTAATACCAGCTATTTCTTAGTCAAGCCGCCTGTCCTGGATAGCTGGGTCCAGAACAAAGTTGGTAACTTAACTTTATAACGGTTGAAGAATTTACTTAAACAAAAACACTTGTAGGCTACTTAAACTATTACTTACCATTGTGTGTGTAGGTGGTGAGTGTGTACATGGGGATGACAGTAAACCTGGTAGACTCATGGGAGCCTTACAAAGCAGCCAAGACAGCCCTGGCCAACACCCTGGAGCCAGCCAACATAAAGGAGCAGTCTACCTACCACGCCAACAAACTGGTGGTGAGTCTTGGTTTGATCACCACAATGTTTGTGTCACATTTTATTAGCTTGGGTAGTTGTAAAATCATAAAACTGTAGTAGAGTCTCAGTAATCCTACCTAAACCGGCCATAATGAGGCCAGAAAAGCAGAAAGGTAAAAAATTCAAAATAAGAATAAGAAGAACCCATTTATTGTCATTTGTCAATATTACATTGCTATATATATCATCAAAGAACAAAAGAAATACAGTAATATGCAGTGTAAAAGGAAAGAATACAATGTACTTGTCAGGCTAACAGATACAACATCACAATTAACAATTAGCAACAAATCAATATAAACTATGAAAATTAACAATTAATAAATTACAACTACAAAGCTTCACTGGATCAAAGCTCATAAATATTAAGTTAAAATTCATATGCAAAAAAATCATCAAGAGAATAAAACGCTTTATTTATAAATCAGGTTGACAGTTTTGATTTAAATGGTTGGATTTCAAGGTTTCTGATCTATGGAGGCAATTTATTGAAACACTTGATCTGTAAATATTTGTGGCTGACTAATGTTTTCCACACTTTAGGAGAGGGTGGGACGATATCTTGCTAATAAAACATTACTTACAGTCATCTTGATAAGGTAAATAAATATGGCCAAAATCCTTACTGCTTAAATTCTTTGCCTTGCAAAAACATAGATAGCACCTCTACTATTTCCCTAGAGCATTGTGGCATACAATTGGGAATGAAAATTGCTAAAATAAGTATTTGACAATGTATTTCTACAAACACATTGTTGTACATGTTGTAAACAGGCCCTTGAAAGTTTTAAAACTACTGAGTTACTGTGACATTCCCATGTAAGCTTCTGATCTAAATTGACCTCCAGTAATTTAACAGGCTCACAATCTTCCTCTGAGTATATTTTTTTTCAAAGTAAAACAGATTGTTTCAGTCTTGTTGGCATTGACTGTGAGGCGTTTAGCATTAATTCTGTGTGAAGTGATAAATCAATCAGCTGTTTGATATGATACTGCATTGGTTTTAATTAATATTCAACCCATTTTAATTAATATACACTAGTAAACTCTGGTGAGATGGTCCTGAACTTTGTATATCAAATGGGATGTCTATTTTGTGTATAGTCAATGATTCAACCAAGAACTGGCTCACTCCATTACTCAGTCACTGTGGGCTTTTACATTTTTTAACACTTAACTGGTAACTGCAAAAGTGGTAAGAGACTTCCAATCTGTGCAGCCAGTGCTCCGTTAATGAAGACAATAACACATTTAGCATCATCCAAAACAACAGCTAATTCATTCAATTTATTTCTTATAGACTGGGCATTTAAATGCAACACACGTACACCAGAATCAGTTGGTTTTGGTTTACTTTTCTTTGGGATACCTGCTAAATCACATACAAGCCTGCTGTTTAAACTACAATTAAAAATAGAGCTTAAGCTATTTACCTCACAATGTATCAAGTTGTTAGATTGTGCACTTCCGGTGGAACCTTTTCCAATGTAGGTCCTTCTGTTGACTGCTTAGGGCTTGATATGATGTCCATCAGTGCTGGTTGCCACTGATATTTAATGTCCTCCGTTGCCGGGGATGACGGGGTCTGTCTTGCCACTGAGGTTGCTGAGCCCCAGTAAAAACCCATAAATAGTAATGACATTTACACAAGAACCAAAAAAAAATATCTCACAATAGTCATATCATATTTTCTTTGCAGAAACTGATAAAGGACACACAACAGTTGCTGACGGAGGGTTCTCTAGTTAGAGACAACATCCTAGACCATGCCAACAAAGTGATAAATTTGATCAGAGAATGCAACGTCTCACTACGTTGGTTGATGCTTCACACTGCGTCTAGCCACTCTGGTAAGAAAAATGGTCACATCTGTGAAACATTCAAGGTAGAGGTCTAGTTATTGATATCAAGAATCGGTCTTCAAGAGCTAATTCTGATAACCAACACATTTACGAAGACTGCACCATCGAAAAGTTACTCCTTTGGCCCCAATCGTGCATAAAGACGGTGATGTTTCCTGATCGTGGAACTGCAGACAATGTTGATGTCTGGCATGGGAGATGAATAGAATTTGGCCGCAACGTTGGAAGATGACGATGATGTCCACATGATCAAGCCAGACATTAATGTAGATAATAAAATCATATAAAAAAAAATAAAAAAAAATTGGGAAAGTAAAAAAATGGTATTGGTATCGAAATTGATTTTTTAAGGTATTGCTATCAAGACTAGGATTTAGCAGTCTTCTTTGACCAGGAAAGCCTATCTACTAGCTTGGTAGGTCTACTACCCGATAAAGATCAAATTAAAGATCAAAGATGAAGACGGGGCCTACTGCTCGCTTAAGATTATTCTTTCTGTTGTAGTGGCCGAAGTGGGCAAGAAGTGTCGACAAGTGAGGGATCAAGTGATGGCCGATGTGAAGCACTCCTCACTGACTGTGTTTAAGTTGTTGCTCAACACAGCCGAACTAGAACTCAAGGTTAAGGACTTGTTTAAAACGGTAAGTAACTACCCTGTTAAACTGAAAGGAATTCATAATACTATTACTCATATTCATAATTATGGTTACTTACTGAATTCAACCCAATAAATCAAGTGGAGTAAGAAAGTAATACAGTTTGAAACAAGACAGTAAATTTTACTGCACCTTAAAATTATGTTTTCACTAAATGACGTTTTGTAGACAAAGATCATCTTAAAGCTTTCTTAATTTGAGATGCCTCCATTTTATTTATAAGGTTATTTCTAAGGTTGTAACACTTTTGAAATACTGTAAAATCATTGTTTATGATCTTGAAAACTCATTTAGTCATCAAGATTCTGCAGTATCCCCATTGCGTTTTGGTTCCGCTACAACCTTAAAACTTAATTGCAAACTTTCAATTGGAAACTTAAAATTCAAAACATTCTTTGTTTTGAACTCAACTGAAATGGTTTGGTGTGTTAAAGGTCGATTACTGGAAGTTGCAGCGTTTCTGCGTGTAATACGTACGTACATGAGAGAATATGTTTGCTTCATTGTGTTTATTTGTCTTGTCCACAGCTGTTGACGGAGAGAGAAGAGAAGTGGTCCAAGTGTAAGCAGGAGGCTGGGGAGAGAATGGCTGAGTTGGCTGAAGTGTTCTCAGGAACAAAACCACTAACCAGGGTGGACAAGAATGGTGAGTTGTACACCTTGGTGTTACACTTACTAATCATGTTTCTTGTTCTGTATAAGTTCTTTTAGTTGTTTGAATGTGGATTCTATATACTTAAAGCTCAGGCCACTTAGGTAACCGTTAAACACATAAAAGAAATTTGTTAACTTAACATGTAATGTAACTTAACATGTAACTTAACGAGGCCGTCCCAAACTTAGATGGAAGGATCAAGTACAAAAAGATGTAAGAAGACTGGGAAGGAGTGAAAATGACACCAAAGACAGAGACATCTGGAGGCAGTGTGTGGGCGAGGCCAAGTACCTCTTAGGGTACCAGTGGCCACTCCTGTAAGTAAGTAAGTAACATGTAATGAGGTTCCTGAAATTATGTCAAGATATAAAAATTTATGTTTTAGACAACCTGCAAAAATGGTTCTTGGACATCAACAAGCAGATCAGCTCCTTGAACATTGAAGAACCAACTATTTCAGGCAGAAAAATAGTTCAACTGATACAAGCTTTGGATGAAGTACAAGGTGTGTCATATTTAGATTGTATTTATATAAATATTGTACATTGCATACAAATTGAAGTGAATAAGGAATGTTGTTTAAACTATTAATTTTCAATTAGTAATATTTCTAAGTAATATTCGTAGTAATATTTCAGCTTAGGCATTTGCCAAAAGTGATAGGTACGGTATTGTCAATTTTTATTGTAAGAAAAAATATTAAAATTAATTGTGCAAACTTTTCTGTCCTGAGTACTGCCTAGAACTTTTTCCCTAGTATAATTTCCACCTGTATCCATTCCTTCCTCTTTGATTCATTTTCATCTTCTACAGAAAATCCTTTGTTAGCCTTTGAATTGCCGATGTTTCACATGAAACGCAAACAAGTCAAAATAAAACAAAATGTCCTAGAATAATACAAAAAAAATATAGCATATGGATCTTCCAAAATTGTACATGGTTATAGAATTCCATCAGTTGAACCACAACTTGCAAGTGCGCCAGTTCCTGGTGGACAGTCGCAACTACCTTCACCAGATGGTGCGAGGAGTGAACGTGAAGGAGGCTGTGTTGATCAATCTGCAGATAGTGGGGGACATCAGTTACGGCTGGGAGCTCATAGACAGCTACACTGCACTGATGCAAGATGGCATCAAAACAGATCCAGGGATGGTTACTAAGCTTAGAGCTACGTTCCTCAAGGTAAGATTGACTTTTGTCCTTATTTATAGTGAATTTCCCTATCAGAAAGAAGCTGTAACATGGCGGCACAGAAATACCTAGACCCCGTACTGAACACCTGGAATGTATATTTATTTGTTTTTGTACTGATATATTATTTCATTTGTAAAACACTATTCATTCAGATTTTTGTATATTTTTCCCTATGGGGAAATTTTCTAAAAGGTTAGCATCATCTTTTCATTTTGCATTTGCCTGCTGACATAGTACTTGAGTGAAAATCAAACAAAGCATAGGGTGAGTCTACCAACAACTTACTTATAAATAGTGATTTGTTGATAACCATATTTATCACAACTCTTGATACTGAAACCTAAAAAATTGATCCTCAATTCTTGATACCGTACCGACACAATTTTATTTACTAAATTTTCCGCATGGATTGGTTACACTACACCAACCCCAGTCCTTTTGTCTTTCCATAAAATAATTTTTGGGTAATGGGGCATTATTCAAGTACCGGTAGTTAAAGAAACAATTAATGCAGCAATGAAAAATACAAATTAGCCAATTTAAGTTCAATTCAAACCCTTCTAAAAACATGAAATATAATATACCTCATGTCTAACCTCATCTGTCGTGTAGACATCAACATCAGAAATTTTCCGTTATCAGCATTGACTTTTTACAATTGATTCTCAATACCAATACCAATCAATGTCAAAGTATCGTGCTGTAAAGAATCGATACATCCCTACGTATAAATAATTAGTAATAGCATCAACTGTCTAAATATCACAGTCAGACTTTACGGACTGCTGTAGGCTATACCTCCCTGTTTGTTCCAGTTGTCGTCTGCAATGGAGATTCCTCTGCTGCGTATCAACCAAGCCGGTTCATCAGACTTGGTGTCTGTGTCTCAGTACTACAGTCATGAGCTGGTCAGCTATGTGCGCAAGGTGAGCCACTTGTGTGTGTTTGATATGTTTTTTTGGAATACTCGCATGACAAATATTCAAAATATGTAAAAAAATTACTAACTGTAAGTGTGACAGATAGATAAAGAGAGATGGAGAGCAGTTGTTGGTGCGGCCAAATCCTGCCTTGGGCATAAATGGCCATAGGAGTGAGTGAGTAAGTGTGACAGTTTTGTAAGAGATGTAGTTGCTTTTTTGCTTAAAATAATTAGTCTGGTGACTTGTAATCCCACTTGTAGACTGTTGACTGTGTTACTGACCTTAGAATCAAAAATCAATATTTTATTCCAGTAAAACGCATACATGCAGACTCTTCGTAGTTCTTCAAGTTCAAATATTTTAAACTCTCTTTTGTATAGGAAAATAACCTTATTTTGTAAACTAATGCAGGCTACCTTTAAAACCTAATAAATAACTAAGTCAATTGGTTTAAAAACCAATAAGCTGATAAGGCTCTATCATCATGGTACCTGGATCAATTGTAATTAATTGGACATTAATTGGAAATAGCACCTCAAGAAGCTAAAAGGCCTGGTGCTTTTAGTTACATCAAATTCTATATCCTTCTTGTGCCATTAATTTACACTTCCATTTTCCACTTCTCTATACATCTTGTCTTCTTTTTGCTCTATCCATCACCATCCCCATAGTTTTGATTACCCGCTTGACTGTCATGCTACTACCATTCCTTACGGCCTGCTCGCTCAAATTTCTCAAGGAAGCAGCACACAAGGAGATAATTTTCCTGCTGGTGCTAAATGTGTTAATTATTTTTCAGGTTTTGCACATCATACCAGAGTCCATGTTTAGTCTGATGGCGAGGATAGTCTACCTTCAGACTTCTGTTATCAAGGAGCTGCCGACTAGGCTGGACAAAGACAAGCTACGGGAATATGCTCAAGTGGACCATAGGATGGAGGTAATTTCTCTATTCTACAGTGGTGAATCTAACTGCTGCTTTCATTTTAGCTACATCAACAATTTTTCATTCCAATGTTGGTTTGCTGACATTGTTTTGTTCTCAGGTTGCTAAACTGACCCACCGAGTGTCTGTGTTTACCGAGGGAGTGCTGCGTATGAAGAGCACCCTGGTGGGGATTGTGAGGATCGACCCTAAACAGCTGTTGGAGGACGGCATCCGCAAGGAGTTGGTACACCACATAGCACTCGCTCTACACACCGGCCTCACTTTCAATCCTAAGGCCAAGGTAGTTTTGTTAGTTTGGGATTTTAAAGCCATATTATGATTCAAGGTTGGTTGCATTGTTTTGTGTGTTTTGTTTTTTGTTTATTCATAATGGCTCATTGAGTGTTTTTTGTTTGGTTTGGTATCACATAGGACATAGGTATTGTAGGATTATTGTTATCAGATGATATATGTGGAGTTATGAATGTTTACAAAAACAATAATAATATAAGCAACTATTTGGTTTGCTTATATTATTATTGTTTAAGTAAATGAATGTTATTAACTGAGTTAACTTAAAATGTGTTTTTAATAATTAACATTTCCAAAAGACGTTTCTCGTTTCCAACGGATTTTGGGGAAATAACCAGGACCAAGAAGCGTTGCAAAATTGTCGGTTCTTCAGTCCGATGGTTCCATCAACTACTTTACGTATTTAGTCCTTAGAAAGATTAGTTGTATTTGGTTATTTAAATTTTAATTACTACCCTCTAAAAGCTACGATAATAAAATATAAAACTCATAAAAATACAGTTTTTATTTACTGGAACCATGATCCAAAACAGTTTTTGGCCAAGAAATGAACCCTAAAAAATGTAACCAACTTATCACGAATTTTTACTTGAATCCAGAAAATAGATTTCTTCTTCGTTAAGGCAATCAGGCAAACATTTGCTTCAAATCTTCGAGGTTTGTTGTGGAAATGATTTGTGCAGTAAAATATTAAAACTCTTATGCCGATGTATGATCTTTCTAAATGGATACAGTAGCAAAATGTCATTTTCAAGTCAACATATATCTAATGAAAGGTATATCAAGCAGAATCTTTGTATATTTATGCAATCCTTCCATTTGATTAGAATGAGATTTATTTAATTGTTAAATAGGCCTAATCTGTTTTTAGGAAGGCTTTCATTAATTTGTCAAATTCTTTGGTTTTCCACATGCACTATTGCTTTTTGCATCGTAGGTGAGTGAACTCAGTGACAAGTTGACAGCTCTGGGAGCCATTATGGATGGCCATCGGCGCTCCTTTGAATATATCCAAGACTATGTTGGCATCTACGGTCTCAAGATTTGGCAGGTTAGTATTGGTGTCAACTGAATCCTATTATTATTGTTTTTTTAAGGGAAATTGTATATTTTCTCAAATGTTATAAACTTTAGAAGAATTACATTCACTTTAAATGGATTCATCAACTAGACTAAATAAATTCCAGCTTTACAAAACTTTTTATACTTTTCTCTTTTAAAAAGAGAGAAAAAGAAAATACCTATAATTAATAACTTCCTACTCTGTTGAGTGATCTGAAGTCAACTATCCCATAAGTACTCTTGAAAGCCAATTTGTTCAGTCTTAATTAGCAATGCCTGGCTAACAGCCTCAGCGGTAGCTTTAGGCACCGTCACTAAAAGCTACTGGGGTTGGTAGCTCAATATTAAAACTCTTCTTCAACAAAAGTTTCAATGTACATCTTCATTAATTGATTTTTGTTTGACAGGAGGAGCTGTGCAGAGTGATTGGCTTCAATGTAGACATGGAGTGTAACAGTTTCCTGCGAGTGAAGGTTATGTCTTGGCAGAGTGTACACCAGAACAAAGCCATCCCTGTGCCACTCTTCTCCCCAACTGATACTCAGTCTATTACCTTTGTTGGGCGACTAGCTCATGAACTTATCCGTATCACAGACCCAAGGTGAGCAATTTGAAACTTTCACACCTTTTGCTGTCAAGTCACATTCCCCAGAAATTAATTACCTGTAACTCCGAATGTGGAATTAATACAATTGACAAGCTTCCATGACTCATTTGCCTGTTCTCTTGTGGAAATTTAATTGATATATTTGCTTTATATTTCCATACTAGGGCTCAAATTGCTGTGGGCTACCTCCCTTAGGACACTTTGGGACCAGACCTTTGCCCAAAATTAAATAAGAACTTGATAGAAATCACTATAAAAATGAATGATTATGTTTCAAACCACACATTATACGAGTCAAGAGCTTGATTCATGTTCATGTGGCTTCAAAACCAAACAAATTTGAATAGAAGAGATTCTACTGTAGTTTAAGAATTCCAGATTATTTAAATTACATCCACCTGAAAGTACTGTGACTCTTTCTTACCTCCTACTTGGACACCCTGAAGAAGCTGATTTTTAACAATGCATAGCAACCAACTAATAATTAATTTTTGCCCCCAACTTGGTCACTCTCATAACATTATTTTTTACTATACAGAACGACCTTGTACGTGATGTCAGCAACGTCCTGGTTTGACACCAAGACACAGAAGCAGGTGGCAGGTCTCAACTTGTTCACCAACATCTCCTCTGCTGTTGGCATCTCGGGTATCACAGGATTGGACCGTCTCATCTCCTTCATGATTGTCACTGAGCTGCAGGTGTGCCAACTGTTAATGTCAATTTTAAATATAATTTTCCATCACCTTGTATACAAAAAAACCATTTGTTATGGCAGCTGATGTTGAAAATTACAGTTTTCCCAAGCTCTAATTTTGAGTAATGCAAAACAATCAGCTGATTTATCATGCTCAATTTATCCTCTGTTGTTCTCAGTAATATTTTTTCTTCACTCTCTAATGTTTCTTCTCAATGTATTTTGGCATTTGTGATAAAAGGTATCATTTTTAAGTTATAGCCTATAACCCTCCACACTTAATTATTCCTACATTATAATATTATTATTTGCTTTGCCTCTCATCTGGAACTTGTTTTCCTGTGACTAAAATGACACAAAATAGGCCAAGGATTTCAGATAATGCATATTGCGGTACCAGTATCATAACAAAACATACCATTTCTACCCTACCACATTTAATCATAATATGATTCTTTTTATACTAGTTTGTACGTTTGTTTTTACTGTTATAAATAAATCTTAAAAAATAAAGGGTGTCCCAATAAGAACGCCGGATTTGAAATGTTAACAAACCATATATATTCATGCTAAATTTACAATATGAAACATGAATCTTAAAGCATAGTATCTCCGATTAGTAATTGAGTATTATGTCTTGTAAGTGTCAACCTGCCAAATACTGACAGGCCCGACATCTCTTGACAAAGTTTTCCGTCATTTTTTCTTACACTTCCTGTTGAATTCCATTAATGGCACGAATCATTTCCTCCTTCAAGTCTTGGATTGGTTGAGGATTATTGGCGAAAACAAACGACTTTAAATACCCTTGGAATAGAACTGAGCCAATTTAATCGAACTTAGAAATCAATCTTCGGACAGATGGATCATTTGGTGCATTGTCCCGGCCGTAAATAGTGCGCAGCTTCCGTGCTTGTAGTGCACTTTAACTATGACCACGCGTTGTTCCGTCGTGTAGCGGTTCATGACTACAAATGGGACCTAATACTGATAACATTGCTGATAATTTGGGAATTTATATTGAAATACAGATAAGGATAAGACGCTCCTCAAATCCGGCGTTCTTACTGGGACACCCTTTATTTTTGACACTTCAATAATTATTTCAGAATTTCCTGTCTGTGCTTCAAAGAGGTGTTTTGAAAGATAAGAATTGGCTTGAACTGTTCGGTTCAGTAGCAAAAGGACTCAGCCCTAATGATCAAAATGTTGGTAAGTAAATCATGAGAATATTTTTAGTGTTAGATACCAATAAATTGTTCTCAAATTTCATCTACTGACAGGTAAAGCATCTTTATGTTGTTTTCAGCTTATTTGGTCAATTACAGACCAAATAAGTTAAGGAAGAAATTTGATGTGTTGCGTACTGTTTGTGTGCTATCAACTGCTAGGAACGAGCAATTGCTAAGTATTACATGCGTTTTTTTAAAACGAATAACAGTCATAATTTCTGATGACTAAAAGATTCAACTCAAAGATTATGGACATACTCAGATAGATATTTAATTTCAAACAAGTCAGTAAATGTTTGAAGCAAACTCCTCGTTCCCACCACCACCCCTGGCTTAAGTCTGGGACTTATTTGCCACCTGCCAATTTCCCGTGAAAATCTTCTTTCTTTTTAGGCTTCAGCCACTTTCAATCCTCGTCCAGACACATTATGTGTCCAAAAGCCTAACAGAACTACTCCCTTCCCCATACCGCCCTGAGCGGTAGGGACCATTGATATTCGCTCTAACCTTTCCTCTCCCCTTCATGGGCAAGTTTTCATTCCTTTTCTTTCTTGGTTTTTGTTTGTTTCTTTTTTTAAATTTAAAAGCCTGTAGCCTATGTATTCCTGGTTTTTCCTATTTCCCTAGTTACTTTTCTAAACGTCTCAATTGTTTCCTTGCCACTCATCATGTTTTATTTTCTCATCTCTAGATCTCTTTTATTCAAGACTTATTCCTGTTCTCTCGTATTTGTCTTCTGAAGTGAACAATTTACAAATACGTGACTCGTAGTTTTTATTTCTCCACATCTACATACTTCCTCTTCCAACAGGTGAAATATCCACAAATTTGCCTTGAAATTTTCCATGTCCTGTGACAAACTTGGTTTCATAATGGCCCATCTCCCAATCTTGTTCCTGTCTCTTTCTGATGTTAGGTATATATCCGAATCGTTTACCTTTAAAACATTAACATAAAACACTGCTCCTAACGCATTTGCCACTCATCTAATACCTCCTCTCTTCTGTTTCCGTTGTAGTCCTACCCGCCCCCTTGTCTTCCAAAATCAACAGCTTATGCAGCGATTATCCAACAGTCCTAAATTGAATGTGAAATATTCAGGCGGCTGTTTGTATTTCGTTCGCGTCTACCAGTTTAAGTTCGTCGGCCTCCTCCTATTGCCCGTCCTGAACGACGTCTTATAGTCTCCATTATGTCAAAAGTTTTTTGGTTATGTTTTGATTTTGTGCAAATAAAAACTGGTTTAAAACAGTGAAACACCAATCTTTTCAACTAGTCTAATAAATCCTTATAGCACATGTCTCCAATTTTAGTATAAGTTAACCAGTTGTTTCAAACATTAGTGTCAATTTCAAAGTATTCATATGTTCAAAATGTAAACAAACATACATTTTCTCCCTAAGAATAGCATGGGAACTTTGAAAGCCACTGGGGCAGAGCCCTGATGAAATTCCAAAGTTTTTTTGTTTGATGGCAAAACTACATGCTAAGACCTTTTCTAACGACACCTTGGACATGGTGATTGGTAGCACCACCGCTCCAAAACAATTATGACAAAAATATGCCTAGCGTATTAAATATATAGATAAACTAAAACAGCAAAACATGGGAATTCGAAATTTGCAGTTATTTAGAATTTTATCTCTGACCATTAAGTGTATAACAAGCTTCAATATATAAAATTATTTGTTTTGTTAACCTCTACAAAATGGTTTGGAAAGAAATTGCCAAATTATTATGTTTTTAAGAAAAAAAAATGAAATTTTTACCCCGTAAACCCCTGTTGGTGTCATGCTAGTTCGCGAACTTGTTAGTATAAAAATGTAGGTTTACACATTCATACCAATCATAAAATAAAAATAGGATCATTTTTGATAGAGTTATCATGTTAACAGACATAAATAAATGTATGAATTATTTGTGACAAATAGCTGTAAGATATATGCTTTAACAATATTGTCTGTTTCCCCAGCCAACCCAGGCAAGGTGTATACTCAATGGACGAGCAGAGCAGGCAAAGTGTGGCCTCAGGTGTTGGAAACAGTACTCAAGGTCGGACAGCTTCAACTCATCAGGAAACACATTTTCTTTGAACTTCGCACCAGCTGCAAGTTTGAATCTAAGAACCTTTCGTCCACATTGGAAAATATGAACCAGTATGTCAAACTTGTAGTTATTCCTTGCAAAAGTTGAAACTGTTCTTTGTAAAGATGTATTATTTATTTTCTGGAAACTCAATCTAAGTTTCTTAAGTTGGATTGAAAAACAATTGATCTAAAATAGTTGGATAGCTTAAAATAGTGTTGCATTGTAATGCTCACTAATTAATCTGAACTTAGGTTTAGTCCTGGGTAAATTCTACAGTTTTTGATGGTTTGAAACTGGACCTAGCTGTTCTTGCCATTAGGCTTTCAATAACTGAGCCTGTGAGCGCTAGAATTGACGTGTGTTTATAGTTCGGCCGATAGTGGCATTGTAGATCAATTTTTTAAGGAACTGCACTGACAAAACTATCATTTAGGTCTGAGTAGATATATAATCCTCAACTTTGAAAGCACGATATATGAAGACTACTACATATTGGTGTTGAGGTGCGCTGCCGTGACAACCTTGTCTGGGTTGATTGATTTGTTGCCGCCGACAGGCGGTTGTACTCGCCGTGCCCGACTACAGGGGTCTCCTCAGCTTTGATAATGTGATATTTGGAGACTTGTACATATTGGTGCTGTCGAGACGGCCTTGTCTGGGTTGATTGAATTGGTGCCGCCTGGCTGTCCTTGTGTATTTGCCGTGACCGGGGGTCACTAAATTAAACCAGTGTATATTTTGTTACAACATGTACAACATGTGACCAACTGCACTAAATGCAACCAGGGAGAATTATTGATAAAAGACTTATTGATAAGAAACCCATTTTATTCTATCAAAAACGTTCACTTGAATTCCGGATACTACCTAGTTTTACTCTGACGTACCCTTCTAAGATTTTGTGATTTTTTAAAGTTATAGCACTCATTTTTAGTTTTACTATATAGATCCTTTGTAATGAATGATTTTAATTATTCAGTTTATAATTTTTGTTTATGTTAGTTTAATGACGCTATTCAAGACATATTGTCTTAACTTGAATAAAGAATATTTGATTGATTGATTGAATTAGGTGACCGACTTGCAAAGTCAGGGTAAACTTCTTAGTGTGGATTGGGTATAAATGCATGTAGTAAAAATATGTGTATACGGATATGCAGTCACATCATGTCACAGTTCGTGGTATTGTTTAAATTCGAAGAGGAGGAGGAGGCGAGTGCAGCTTTGAGGCATCTTCAAGCCCGCTATACTGTGAAGGAGTCGAGATCTTACGAGAACACCGAGGTGGTGACCACAATATCACTCATGTTGTGTTCGATACTCCAGGTTAGTAAATAAGTAAAAATTACAATTCAGAGTATTTATTGAAATATTTTAACATTAGGTGACCTTCCGGTCTTGCCAGTACATTTAACCCTGTACCCGTCAGCCGCAATGGAGTCGATCTCAGCTTGTGTTAGGTTTAAAGCGAACCGCTTCGGTAGAAAGACTATATGTGGTGTCTTGTCAAATATTATATCCAGAATTGAACTCGCACCGTACTCCCAGTGAGAATGTAGCCTCGCTCCAGTGATTGGATATCCAGCTGGGTCGATTAAATCCGATACAGCTTCCCTCGGTGGACCCCTTGGTGAAATTGATGTTCTGTCCATTTTAAATGTTCATTCATATACAAACCCAGAAATTTTATGTTTTCTGAAGCCTTGATTTGTTCCCCAGAACCCAAGCTGATGGTTACCTTTTCTGTATTTAACTGTGGATTGTGAAAATGAAGTAAGTGTGTTTTTGAACAGTTGAGATGAAGACCATTTTGTTTTAACCAAAGTTCTATTTTGTTCAAATTTTCCGATGCTTTGATAGACGCTAGGGCAACAGATGGGGCTTTGACCAACACAGTAGTGTCATCGGCAAATTGTATGATTCTGGAATCCAATGTAGCAGCTAGATCATTTATGTAAAGAATAAAAAGAAGAGGTCCAACTTTAGACCCTTGAGGAACGCCATGAAGAACCGGACACCAGTTTGAGAAATTTTTAATGTTAGATTTATCTTTGATGACAACTCGTTGATAACGTCCCTGAAGATAGCATTTGAACCAGGCCAAGGAAGAACCAACAATTCCATATAGTTTAAGTTTTTCCAGAAGGATGTCATGCCTCACACAGTCGAAGGCCTTGGAAAGATCACAGAAAACACCAATTGCCCTCTGGGATCTATCCAGGGCCTCCACAGTATCAGAAATAAGCTCAACTATTGCATCTGAGGTACTCCTATTTTGTCTAAAACCAAAATGATCTTTGTTGAGTAATTCGTTTGTTTCAAGGAATGGAACTAGCTGTGATAGAGCAGCCTCTTCGAACAACTTTGAGATGACTGGCAAAAGAGCGATTGGTCGATAGTTAGATATTTCATGGGAGTCACCTTTTTTAAATACTGGTTTGATTTGTGCATATTTTAATTTGTCTGGAAAAGAGCCTGTTAACAGTGATATATTGATACAATGAGTTAAAGGTTTTAAGATGCAAGGAGCTAAAGATTTTATAAGATGTGCTGGAATTTCGTCCCATCCTGTGGATGGTTTGTTTTTGAGTTTTTTTATACATGAAAAATCAAAAGATTCTGATACCGGTTGAAACTTGAAAGAATTAGGAACTTTTAAAGATGCCTTTTTTGCGCTCTTAACAGATTCTGCAACAGAAACATAAGAATGAAAATCTTTTGCTACGCTTGTAAAAAAATTGTTCATACTGTTAGCTACTGATATTGGTTTTACTACCACCTCCCCATTAATTCTAATCTCTGGACACGACTGATCTTCTACACATTGCCCTAACTCTTTTTTAACAATATTCCAAGTTGTTCTAGTTACATTGTCACTTTCTTTTATCAAATTAACATTATACAACTTTTTTGCTTCACAAAACTACTTTTCTAAACACCCGTTTATAATTCTTAAAGTACTCCATAAAAGCAGGATTCGAATTATATCTAGAGATTTTATACAGTTCCCATTTCCTCCTACTCGACACTTTAATTCCCCTTGTTACCCAAGCACTTTTCCCTTTATTATTATTAACAACTTTTGTGGTGATAGGACAATTATTTACAAAGGAGCTATATACAGTATTGAAAAAAACATTAAAACTCTCATTACATGTAAGCTGTGACATACAATTATTCCAATTCTCAGCTGATAAGCAGTTGTATAGGGATCTGATATTTTCTTGACTTATTATACGTTTTGAGGAATACTTTTTTACATTACTACAGTCTAACCTTGATATAACGAACCTCGATATAACGAATTCCTTGATATAACAAATTTTTTTTAATCCCCTAGTACTCTCCATAAGACACAATGTATATTTTACCTCTACATAACGAACAAACCATAACAACAACCTTGATTTAACGAATTTTTTGTGATTTCGGCTAAAATAAGACACCTCAATATAACGAATTTATCATTGTCAGAGCCTCTACATTGCGAATTTAACCTCTGCATAACGAATTGTCTACGTCTTTCCTTCGAAATAACAAATCCCAAACCCAATTATTGTTTTGGGAAAATCTGTTTCTTTATCAAATGAAATGGAAAGGTCACGTCTTCGCTTGCGCTAACATTCGTCTGCTCCGTTTTACATCTTTGTCTGCTGTCGCTGCGCGCGCTATGTTGCAACTGAGAACTGAACTGATTTCATTCACTGAGGACTGATGACGACGTAATGTTTAGTAAGCTGTGATTGGGCAATATGGGATAACTATGGTAAATTGTACAATTTTCGGATAAAGAGAAAACTAAGAAAGAATATAAAAACAAAACCAAAGAGAAAGAATAGCAACATCGTTATCTTAACATTCCTTTTAACGAGTGTTTTTATTATCCTTAAGTTGGCTATGATTATACACTTTTATAATGACTTATCTAATAATTTATTGTTTTCAATACGATTTGTTTCAACTAGCAACACCAATGCTATAGTTAATGATTATTATTGACATTCCTCTGTTGTGATAAATCAGTACTGTACTGTAAGTAGCCTACCGGCCTATCACGAGCATTAGCTTACAAAACTTTCTACTGTTTTGTTTTGTTCTTTACATGGTTTATGACTACGCAATACAGTGTTTGGCTAGGTTTTAGGAGGGTTAGAACAAGCTGTGATTTTAAACTTGCAGTTTTTAACCTGTACCAAGGCCAAAGCCAATGTCATGATTGCGCAATATTCAAGATCCCTCCCCTTTATTTTGCCGGATAATTTAGGTTCTACTTTACAATGTAAACACTGTACTGTAAAGTATTGTAGCGTAGCCTATGCTACTTTAATTGTATTTTAATGAGGTCAAATCCCGACCTATATTGACCGACGCTGGTTCTGAACCTCGACTTAGCGAAATTCCTGCAAACCTAACCTCTATATAACGAACCTCGTTTTAACAAAATCCTTGATATAACGAATATTCAGTTCGGTCCCTTCAGATTCGTTATACTGAGGTTGGACTGTATTTACAATCTCAGCCTTGTGGCAAATTATTTGACCTAAATGATCAGAAATTCCAAAATCTACTGTTTTACACATACTTTCATCAAAAGTTAAATAATTATTGGTTATGATGTTGTCAATACAGGTTGCTGTTGTGGGCGTTTTTCTGGTGGGCTCATTAAAAATTATTTTATAACCAAAGGACAAAAATAGCATTCTAAATCTGCAGCTTTTTTCATCATCAACTAACATATCGATATTGAAGTCACCACAGATGTAAATACAATTTTTATATTTACCTGCCTCAAGATGTTGCAGTAGCTTTTCAAAAAACAAATTGTAATTGTAGTAGGGCTGGGAAACTTAAATTTATTAATGATCGTCGCCAATAGCTTACAAACAAGGTTTCCACTCATTGACGGCGCTTCAATGGCGGTTGTGTGAAGTGTAAAGTAAAAAATCACAACTGCAGTGGGTGATTGTAACAGAGGTTTACGGATGATGCTAAACTCGCTTTTCCAATGTGTCACTGATTCTACTCACCGTGTGATGCAATCGCTGGACCATTCAGCCAATAGGCCCAT